TAAATAAATAAATAAAATCTTTAAAAAAAATAAAGAGGTAATCAAGTTAACATGCATTCCTTAGGGTGGGCCCTAATTCACTATGACTGATCTCTCTCTTTTTTTTTAAAGATTTTATTTATTTATTAGAGAGAGAGAGCATGAGATGGGGGAGGGTCAGAGGGAGAAGCAGACTCCCTACAGAGCAGGGAGCCCGATGCAGGACTCCGTCTTGGATCATGACCTGAGCCGAAGGCAGCTGCCCAAAGGACTGAGCCACCCAGGCGCTTGACTGTCTTTATAGGAAGATATGCTTAGAGGAAGACAATGTGAAGAGACATAGAGGGAAGATGGCTGTCTACAAGCCAAGGATAGAGGGCTGGAACAGCTCTTTTCTTCACAGCTTTCAGAAAGAACCCTCCCTGCTGACACCTTAGTTTTGGACTTTCAGCTTCCAGACCTGTGAGACAGTAGATTTTTGTTAAGTCACCCAGTCTGTGGTACGTTGTTATGGTAGCCCTAGCAAATAACATTCAGTAGGATCTAGTTTGAGGTTTTACCAGCTTGCAAAGGCAAACTCATTATATCCCTGCAGAGACACCAGCTCAGGTGGCTGGCACCCCTTTTCAGGGACTCTCTTCCAAGCTTCTAAGTTTTAATTACAACCTCTTCCCTTTGTTTCCCCAGCCCTATGAACTGCTTCCCGCTCTTGCTACCTGTGAAAGCTTAGTGTTCTTTTTGCCTTTTCAATTACTTAGTTAACAATTCTTTATTACCTAGTTAAACATTGTCTATTTTAAATTCTGTTAAAATAACTGGAGCCTAGGGGGCAGGTTTGCTGCTGGCAGAGCCTTGAGGGCACGACCCTGGCCTGGTAGAACTGCAGGGTGGGGCCGCTGCCCCAGTGGGTCCGGAAGGCCAGGCATTGAGCCAAAGAGGATTATTCTCAAGACTGAAGATCTGATGGAATTTACCATGCTGGGTTTTGTACTTACTTGAAACCTATCATTCCTTCTTTTTTTCCTATTCCTCTTGGAATGGGAATGTCTATCCTATGCCTGACCTACTCGTGTGTTTTCGAAGCATGTAACTTGTTTGATTTCACAGGCTCATAGCTGGAAAGGAATTTTGCCTCAGGATGAATCACAATTCTAGTCTCACCTATAACTGATTCAGATATTTAGATGAGAATTTGGACTTTAGACTTCAGAGTTGATGCTGGAATGAGTTGAGACTTTGGGGGTTGTTGGGAAGGAATAAATGTATTTGGTATGCAATAAGGACATGGATTTGGGGGGACCAGAGAACAATGCTATGGACTGAATTGTATCCCCACAAAATTCATATGTTGAAAGTTGTGATCCCCAGTATGACTCTCACAGAGAGTGTAGCAGAGAGATCTTTTCTGGCATAGCCCTCTCCAGACTGTAATAGATACCTTTCCTCTGATGCTAACGACAAGAATCAGAGCTGACAAATTTAGCACAATCGAAACAAAGATGGCAACTCTTTTTTTTTTTTTTAAAGATTTTATTTATTTATTTGAGAGAGAGAGAGGACGAGCAGGGGTAAGTTTACAGGGAGAGGGAGAGGGAGAAGCAGACTCCCTGCTGAGCACGGAGCCCAAGGTGGGGGTGGATCCCAGGACCCCGAGATCATGACCTGAGCCAAAGTCAGATGCTTAACCAACTGAGCTACCCAGGCGCCCTAAAAATGGCAACTCTTAAGCAAACCGAAAGTGGTGAATTTTGTTTTCTCATTTGAATGTACATTGGACTTAAGCCTATTTTCTGAGTGTTTAATTGTTAAGGCAAATAAAGTGCAGAACAGAATAAAATGTTGAAAATATATAAAGATTGGGTCAAAAGGCTTCATAAAACTTAGGATGCTTTATTTTCTCACAGTAGCCTGTACGTTCTATATGCCATTCAGTTTTCCTGTTCACATGTTGGCCTCATTACTCTGGGAGCTCCTTGAGGGTAGGCTGGGGAATATTTAGTTACCTCTGTATTTCCTAGTTTCCAGCACAGTGGCTGGACCATGCTTGACATTTAATGCAAATTGTTTAAGCTTATACTTAAATTCTGGAAAAGGACCTGTTTCAACTCCCCATTGTCAGTGTCATCTCAGACCTGTCGACGACCCAGGACAGAGCCGGTGGAGAAAGGGGCAGCTCGGTGAAAGGGGTGTACCTTGTCCAATTTAGACATAGAAATGACTTTCCGTTATGGTCGGTTATTTTGAGAGGGTTAGACATGATTTACATGTCAGTCAGTGGCCAGGATGGTTCTCATGTCTGGAGGGAATTTATGTCTCTGCTCTTCTTTGCTTAGGTTTTGAAACTTTCGTTATTTAATAATAGTTGCTATTTATTTAGCACTACAGCATGTCAGGTGCAGTGCTGAGGGCTTTACATAATGAGCTGTCCTTCAATAACCACAACAATGCTATAAGATGGGTAATCCTTATAGATAAAGAATCTGTGGATCTGCAAAGTTAAGCAAATTGTCCGAGGCCACACTGTGGGAAATGCAATAACTGGGATTAAAATTCAGGTCTTTCTTACTCTAGAGTTTGGCCCTTTCCAGTGGTCTTCTTTCCTGCTCAAGCAGAGCCCCTAGACCTTTAGAATGGAATGATGGATCTCCTGACTCTCTCTCCACACCGGGATCCTTTCTCCAGGTATAAAAACTCAAAATCCCAATTATCCCTCTGAGAAAGTGATAGCTAAATTTTCCAGTCCCCAGTTTGAACTGGTTAATACACCTTCCCTTTCTTACACACCATGCTGAAGGAGGCATTTTACAAAGTGGCAATGTGAGGTACACAGATGAGCAGGGAACTTTACTTTGTGTGCCCCCTCAACATCTCTTGTCATATCTGTACTTGGAAGGGTTGATATGATGATTAACTATGTTATAGAAGACTATTGTTTATATAGGGCACATTTAATAATATTTTCTCTTTTCATGTATATATATCCACAGTGCTGAGCAGCAGTGTTGTTAACGCAAATTGGGGATTGTACAAAAGTCCTTCCTAAATGGCTTTGGAATGTGTTAAAATATGTCTATATATATTTAAAGAATCATAAAAGGTAAGAGCTGGGGTGCCTGGGTGACTCCGTCAGTTAAGGGTCTGACTCTTGGTTTCAGCTCAGGTCATGATCTCAGGGTTGTGAGATTGAGCCCCACGTCAGGCTCCACACTCAGTGGTTTGTCTGCTTGAGATTTTCTCTCTTTCCCTCTGCCCCTCCCCCACTGCACTCTCTCACACTCTCTCTCTTTCTAAAATAAATAAATCTAAAAAAAAGATAACAGCTACTGGATATTTATTGTAACAGGTTTCCAGTATGTTAAGGCTAGAAGAACTTAAGTTAATTCAGAAATCTCTGGATAACGTGGATAATACACCCAGAGGTAGACATGAAAACTTCCCTTGAAATGGAGAGGTAGAAAAAGTAGATTTTATTAATCCAGTGTTTTTCTTATTTTTCATCTGTCATCTAAAGGTGTATTGAAATTCTGTAGCTTGAAACTTCAGACTTGATCACATTTCTTTACCCTGGATGAAGTGTCTTAAGGGTGAGAAGGCCACCTGGCTGTTTCAGAATGAGATTGATTGGAAGTCCCCGTCCCCCAACTCCTCTGCCCCAAGCTATGCCTTGTCTTCTTATAGTCAGCTGATCAGGTCACACTTTAATTCTAATGGTACATCCAGAGGTGACCATCTCTGCTAGACTTACTTACTCATTTGGAGTTTGTTGTGAGGCCGAGTCCTTGGGGGAAGTGATGGCATGGGTGTCGGGGTGGCATCCCCGTGCCCTGTACCAGCAATATTAGTGCTGAACGCTGCAGCATCTCATGCTTGGGGGTGAGGAAAGTGGTATCCTCACCAGGCTGATCCTTCACAGAGATTTTCAGCCTGTTCTTAACTGCGTCTTTCAAGCCTTATTCTCCTTCTGAGCTGGAGATTTTGTCCTCCCCATATACCCTCCAACGTTTTTAATTAGTTAATTAATTATTATTTTTTCACATCAGACGGGTAATGTGCCAAGGTCGTAACAGGTTTGAGGAAGGCACATGTCACAGTGGTGTGAACAACCAGTCATCATGCTTATGAACTACAAAAGGATCCAAACATTTCAGATTTAAAATATAAAAGAATATGGGGCGCCTGGCTGGCTCAGTCGGTGGAGTGTGTGACTCTTGATCTCGGGATTGTGAGTTTGAGCCCCATGTTGGGTGTGGAGATTGCTTAAAAATAAAACCTTGGAAAGCCTGGGAGTTTCATTTGGTTAAGTGTCTGCCTTCAGCTCAGGTCATGATCCCAGGGTCCTGGGATCAAGTCCCGCATCGGGCTCCCTGCTCGGCAGGAAGCCTGCTTCTTCCTCTCCCAGTCCCCCTGCTTGTGTTCCCTCTCTCGCTGTCTCTCTCTGTTAAATAAATAAATAAAATCTTAAAAAAAAAAAAAAGTTGATTTCAAGTAAATTTGGGTCAAGATTGACATCCAACATATCATTAGTGTATATTAAGACATGGAGGTACCTGTGATCCATGCTGGAAACAAAAGGTAATCTAATTCCAAGGAATAGGAGGTTACCAGGAATTAGCATGGTTAAAAGGTGGCAGGCTGAATCATAAGAGATGAAGTCTAAACAGAGAAGTGACAATCTAGGTCAGTTCAACTTCTCAGTAGACAAATGGAAAACCATTTGCTTTCTGATGAGGCTATGTTAATTCCTCCACATGTCATTCAATCTCTTCAAAGCCTCTGTTTTCTAGCGTTTTACCAGTAATATCTTACATATCCCTTTAAGCACTGGGTAATTGTTTGCCATGAAAGATGAGACAGTTGTACATAAATGTGGGTGGTGGTAACAGTCATGTTTTCTCTTGTAAAGATGAAGAAGCTAAAAGAGCCAGTCTCAGAAAAATAGTAAATCAGATGTTAAGAGAAGAGAATGTTTCCTGGTTTATTCTCTGCCCTGGGAGACCCTGGGAGTATTCCCGGTCATGGGTTCAAAGTGATTTCTGTGTATCTGGAACAGTTTTATTTTTCACACCTGTGTCAATCTGAGTTGAGTTTTGTTACTTGTGACAGCAAGTAACAAATTTTTTTTTCCACTTAAATAGCACTGTTTTATTCGTCCCAAGCAGGTACCACTTTTATAACCATCATTATTATATGTGTTTATAAACACTTCTTGAAATGCATTGCAGAAGAGCTATCACATCCATTTTCTGAAATAACACTCTTCTCAAAGTGTTTTGCACAGAACAGGCAAGAGTCCTGTGTAATACAGTGTATGACACAATGCTTGTTACATAGCAGCAGTTCTCTGACAAAAAAGATCGCTATCATTATTACTATTGCTGTTGGTACCACTCCATGAGGATAATACCCTTAGCCTCACTGGGGGCATTCCTGAAAGTCAAATGTCAGTGTGGTCTTCAGAGATAGTTTGGGGAGGGTGGTAAATCCTGGCCTTAAACTAAATCCTTGTAACTGGTTCTATCTACGGAATACACCTGTTCCTACTTCTCTCTCCATCCATCCATCCATCCATCCATCCACCCATCCATCCATCCATCCATCCATCCATCCATCCATCCATCCATTCAGTGTGGCACAAACTAGGGAAATAATTTCCTGTTAGTCAAATGATCTAACAAGAAACAGATTCTTCAACCTTCCGGAAGGAGCCCCAGTAGAAGAACTTCAGAGTGAGAAAATGGATCTGGTGGTGGTTCTATGAAGGAAGACTTGTCAGATCCTTTCAGTTAGAGTTTTCTTGTCTTTGGACAGTGCTTAGATGAGCCATTCCTGTTTGTCGTCCTCTAAGCAGCTACAGGCCTGAGCTGATCCATGTCCTGCCTGACCTCACATCAGCTTTCTGGCCGCCTCTGCGTTTTGCCTGACTTTAATTACCCTTTAACAGCTGCTGCCTCCTTCCCTGGTGCTGCCCCAAAACGGCCTGGCTTCCAGCTGGCTTCCTGAGAACAGGCATCCAAGGAGCTGGAAGATAATTTCTCCATGTCTTTGCAGAGGGGCGTTTGCCCTGATAGCATGACTTCTCAGAGTTGCAGAGTCTCTCTTCTGTAATCCTTGCTATTAGCAGTGGTGTTTTCTGCTGTTGAGTCCATCTTTGCCAGAGATAGCTGGAAAAGCAGTGCAGAATGTGTCCTTGGATGTGGATCACTTTCATCAGGCAGGGAACCAAAACACCACTCATTCTGTCTCTCTGGAGAGTCACAGTCACGAAAGCACAAACTACATGGAGAAGCTAAGCAGCTGCATTAATGTGCCAGAAAATACCTCAGCAAAGACATCAGGGCAAGAAGTTGCCCTGGGACAGTGCTCAGCCTATGGGGATGAGGCCTCTTTTCAGGGCTCTGTCAGCAGCCTTGGGGTGTGGAATTGCTAGGAGTTTTAAGGGACTAGGACAAGGGAACCAGGGAGGAGCAAGTGCTCCTGGGCCTGAGCCTGTGGATTCCTGATGGTCTGATGCCATTCTCAGGACTGGAGGGTCAGTCAGCCCATTCCAGGACACAAGGGTCATAGGCCAGTCAGATGGGGGAAAGCTGTTTGCTTGAAGCAGCTTGAGCCCACGTGATCAGGGTGGAGAATCAAAATCATCTCCCAAACAAGTAGCATAATCAGAATGGAAGAAAGCATGAGGACTGGGTCAAGGAGACTGGTTCAAGTTTGTGAGGGAGTCTCCTTTTCCTGTGGAGCTTGTGTGATTCTGGGGGGTGGGTGTGAGGGCTTGAAGTAGCTGTTCAGGGTGCACAGATGGAATGTAGAACCAGGAACCTGGTGGAAGGGGAATCCTGCAAGTTCCTAGGACTGTAGGATTGATGGGATTCCTCATATAGTTGGCCATCCTGACTGTAAAACCTTGTCTTATATGTATCTGTGGAATTTTGCTCATTTCCTTTGTCCATAACGTGGACTGTTCTCACAGGAAAGGTGAAATTTGCAAGCTTATGAACAACCTCCCCTCTTTTAGGTGTTCTTTCTCAGATGCAAGATGAAGGCTTTGGTGTCTTCCCTATGCTGAGTTCTGATTTGTCACAGGATACAGCCTTGCTAGCTTACAGGCAACGTCTGTCCTATCAACATCAATGTGGCATCTGCAACCTGATAATTCACAGCTCAGGTGCTGGTATTTGGTTAAATGCCTTCCATTTTTTCTCCGCAACCGCTCCACCATGTCTTTCTGAAATATTTTTTTGTCATGTCATCTAATCGTTTGGTCCTCTACTAGCAGAAAAGGAAGACTCTGAAAGTCTTAAATGTTTTTTTTAAACTTGATGCTTAAAAAAAATAGAGACAAGTCAGAGAGAGCTGTGATAAACTTGAGAAAGACTATATTACACACATTTTGAGGACTACTTAACTATTGGTTAAATCTGAAAAATACTAATGTAATGGAAATAAAGGGTCTAGTAGGGTCTCATTGAGTCTCCAGTTGACAGAATGACCCCTGAAGTCACTAGTCTCTTGGGGCCTCATGATCAAATGAGAGAGCAACCAGAGCTGTGCTTCTCAAATGGTGGCGTGCAGGGAGAGTATTGGGATCTTAAAGAAATGCACATGCTGATTGAGTAGAAGGGGGTGATGCTGCTTTACCATTCAGACTTGAATAGCTAGGGCTTAGAAGACCTCTACAGAATTCTCAGTCCTGGCTCTACCTCAGAATCTTGGGAGTTTGAAAAGGACTCAAAGAAGCTACATGTGCCCAGGCCCTACTTCCAATGATAAAATTGGCCTGAGATGGGCCAAAGCACAGTCTTTTTATTTATTTATTTATTTTTAAATTTTATTTTATTATGTTATGTTAA